TTTTTTTTTTTTTTTTTTTTTGGTTGTTGATGGACCTTTATTTATATGTAGTGCTGATAACCAAACCCAGTGCCTCACACATGCTAGGCAAGCGCTCTACCACTGAGCTGTAGCCCCAGCCCCAAACTACTGTTTTTCTAATAATCACATTGAATGTGCTCATTGGTTGGTGGAATTTTAAAGTTGTCTACTTTAAATCCAGTTAATTTCAGCTCTGCAATGATTCTGTCCATATGGCTCTTTGGAAAATGGGTATAGGTAGTATAGAGGGTTCTTTTATAAATGGAGAACAGCCTATATATTTCATATTCATAATTTTCCTGTGCTGTCAAAGACCTCACTGAATCCAAGCCATACATGTAGTTGGGGTCAATATGACTATTACTAGACTCTGCTTATAACCCTCCTCTGCCTTTGTCTAAGGGAACTCAACCCCACATTTAAGTCTTGCCAGCTTCATAGTTGGCTTTGCTATAGCCAGCCCTTCCTGTTTTCATTCATATTCAAAGCCCCAGATAAAATGCACAAGAGATTCTAATCCTCACCTCCCCTCTGCCTCTCCAGCGGATGCAGTATTGCAGTATGACGTGGAGCTGATTGCACTGATCCGAGCCAACTACTGGCAAAAGCTGGTGAAGGGCATTTTGCCTCTGGTAGGCATGGCCATGGTGCCAGGCCTCCTGTGTCTCATTGGGTTTCACCTATACAAAAAGGCCAACACACCCAAAGTCTCCAAAAAGAAGCTCAAGGAAGAAAAACGAAACAAGAGTAAAAAGAAATAAATGATAGTACTTTTAAAGAGCTTTGTATTCTTCACCTGATACTTTCTGAAGCTGCTTTTTGTAAGTGGGAAAGAGGTGAAGGGCTGAGAAAAAAAGGCATTCTGGAGTTGGATCTTGCCTGGCAAGAGGGGATGGTTGGAAGCCTTAGGTCACCACTTCCCCTGACCACCTCTTGCTGTCCTAATATACCCCAAAGATCTGTGCTTCACTGCGTCATTGCCTTCCTATTTTCTCTGCTCCCCAGGATGGCAGTATTCCTAGTGTCTTCATTTTTTTTTTTTTCTTCTAATATTTATTTTTTAGTTCTCGGCGGACACAACATCTTTGTTGGTATGTGGTGCTGAGGATCGAACCCGGGCCGCATGCATGCTACGCGAGCGCGCTACCGCTTGAGCCACATCCCCAGCCCCTCCTAGTGTCTTCAAAGTGAACTGCTCTGTCCAAGACAGCAAAAATATAAGGAGTTCATAAACTCCATGGAAGTTTTTAATAGCAAAGCACTTGGGTCTCAAAAAAAAATTTTTTTTCTTTGAAGTTGGAAAGACGTGTCCTCCCTTGGATCACAGGGTGTGGGAGATGATGTGGGCTGCTTCAATGATATTATAAGTAGCTGGAGGTGGTTTGTCACCTGACTGGGCAGTAGATGTGGACAAGGGTTGGGATAAGTTGCTTTGATGGTTGACTATGAAGAGTGGGTTGAACTTGCTCAACACTTCGTCACTCACGGAGATGCCATCCAAGTACTGCTTGAGCATCTCCCGAAGCTTCCCATTAATTTCCAACAGCTGGGCTCGTCTGTGTTGGAGGCTCAGTTGCTCCAGTTTCACCTTGTTGTACCTTTTCCAGAAATTCTCCATCCCTACGTAGTCAGCCATCACCTGGTAATTGAGTTAGAGAGGGAAAGTGTGCTTCAGGACCCAGTAGCAAATGCTATCCCAAAGCCTATCCTCTCCCAGCCCTTACCTTCACAAGTTCCATAGTAAGCTCTTCAGGATTTTGTTCCTCATTCTCCTCCTGTATATTAGCTGTCAATACTGATGAATAAAAAGGCAGCACTTTCTCTTCCTCTGTTTCATATTTTCTACATATTTCAGCAAGTTTAAGGATCTTTTCACCCTGTTGGAAGCAGGAACAGACTTCATTAGGAAAGGGCTAAAAGGGAAATAGTGGAGTTAGTTCCCTGCATGAAACAACTCCAGCGGAACTTATTATTAAAATGAGAGACAACAGTAATAAATACATCTAACACCTAGTGCTTACCATGTGCCAAGCACTGGTCTAAGTATTTCATATTTTTATTAAATTAAGCTGTTATTATTTAATTTAAAATGTATGAGGGGAGGAGAGAGAATAATGAAGATATTCCTAGTGTTCACTTAAGCTTAGGAAGCACGAGGAAACCCTCCTCTACTTCTCCTAAGTTCCTTTCACCTCAAGCAGTTTATTTGCCTTTGTTCTGACTGTCCTCTCCCCTTTATTACCTTATCAACGATCTTTTTCAAGGCCTTGAGGGTGGCATTACTTTCCAGGGTGAGCTTGACTAAGTTCTCCTGGGATACCTCTCGGGCCTGCATCCTTTGAGCCTTAAGTTTTCGCAGTTGTATAAGGACCAACTCCTTGTCATTACGGATATACTGGTTCTGATCTTCACTCTCACGACTATGCAGCATGATTTTGCCTTTTGAAATAGTTATGGCCTCCTGGACAGACAGAGTAGACAGAGGAAACACTTGACCAGAGGAGGGTCTTTATTGACCAGGAAAAGGGCATCCTGGGAACTGAAATCAGAGTATATCATCTTTTCTCACCCAGTGGAGTAATGAGACCCAGTGGGAACTGGAGAAAGGGGAAAGGGGAATAATGGAGTAGTGTAAGCAGCATTTTTGATGGTGATACTACCTGTAGTTTCTGTATTTTTTTCATTTGTGCTTCAATTTCTTTGGAGCTCTTCTCGTCCTTCACCTTTAAGGTTTCAAAGGCAATTTTCCGGTCCTCTGTGGCATCAGTGTAATTCTTGAGTGCTTCTTGGAACCTTCTCCACAGATCTTCTACTACATTCTCTAGTTGTATTCGTAGAAAGTGCTTTTCTTCTAAATTCTAGGAAGTTCCCCCCCAAATACCCAATGTTTAAAATTATGCTACTAATGCCCTTTATTTCCACCAGAAACCTCATGTTTTGAAGTGTTAATAGTATTAATCAGTGTAGCAATCACCAATCAAAATGCCCATAAAGACCAGGAAGATAATATAAGAAAGTATTGTGGGCTGAGTGGGTCCTGTAGTGAACTTGAGCTCCTACAACTCCACATGAATGCTGCCATTTGGAAACATGACCCAATGTTGCCACTAGATCTTTAAATTTTTCAAGGGAAGTCGAAAATTTAGATTTTTATGTGAAATATTTTCAATTTCTAAATATAGAAAATGTATTCAAAGTTTTTATAAAACATTGACATAACATGAAAACAAGAACCCCAYCAGGCATAGTGGCATATGCCTCTAATCCCAGCAACTTGGGAGGCTGAGGCAGGAGGATTTTAAGTTCCATGCCAACCTCAGCAACTTAGCAAGACCCTGTCTCAATAAAAAGAGTTGGGGATATAACTCAGTGGTAAAGTGCTCCTGATTTCAATTCCCAGTACCAAAATAAAAATAAAAGCAAAAAAAACAAAAAACAAAAAGAACCCTATATCTAAACCTAGGTCTGTGGAGTAGTTAAGTTTATAATCTCCAATATGGTAAAAAAACATTTTGGGCTAAGTGGCAGGAGACCTAGATTAATTCTTCTGGCTCTACCACAAATCAGAAGCGTGAGTCTGGCGGGTCATTTATTTATTTGGACCTTAGTATCTTCATCTGTAGTTCAGAGGAAGCCAGGTGATCTCCTGTTGCTTTTTAAGCTCCAAAATGCATTCCCTTGATATTTTAGAATGATCTTCCTTCCTGACCAGTTTTACAAAATTACAAAAAGCAGTTGAAGCAACTATAGTGGCACACCCTTTTATTGACTGTTGGTTACAGGGCTCTCTTCTATCTGTAGTAGCTTGAACAGTTTTTCTCTTACTTCTCTCCCAGTTCCTGTCCCTTTAATCCCCTTTTATACCTTGTTTTTGAGATCATCCCACATGCTTTGGAACTCCAACTTGCTTTCATACTCAGAATCTATATAGTTCTGCTCCATGGCCATGAAGACATCTTGTAGATAGTGAATCTCTTTCTCATGTTGGTCAATAATTGTCTTCCTATAGGAGACAAGATACTGTCCTTGCTGCAATGGATACAGCATATGGACCAATAATGACAATTTAAAGCAGTAGTAATAAAACTGTATGAATGGTACAAACTCTTTGATACTGACAGAGAACAGAGAGAGGGTGGGCTCTACATTTTTATGGCCAGAGAGAATAAGATTATTTTATTTTGATTTTTGAATGAGTAATATATTAATACAAATATAAATATAAGTGAACTCTCCCTCCCAAATCTGTCTGCTGTGAGATGGGTAGGATTCTGATATTTGAAAGTGGATGGTAAGGGCATTTTGATGCCAGGGGGTGGTGTGTGTGTGTGTGTAGGGATATGGGGGTTGGGGGAAGGGGTAAAGGAAAGCAAAGGCTGTAAGGTGAACCTGAATTTGTTTAGAACAAACTCAGAATGTTCTCTGTTGTGGGTCATGTCATAATAAAAGTGGAATGCTTCCAGGTACTGGCCACCTGCTTACAAGCAGCTCCTTCACACAGAACAGTCACTCCCCTGGATTCAGACCCCTATCTTCTCTTGGGACCCATACCTTTCTGTCTCAAACTCCTTGGTTAGGACCTCCAGCTCATTGTTGTAACTTTCTTCCAGGAGGTGGAGCCGGCGCCTCTGCAGGGCCAAGAGCTGGTCAATATTGTGTAAGTGGCTGCGTAGGGCATGGGCATACTGCTCCTCAGCTTCTGATAGATCCTTAGCTAAAGACTGGACAGGAAAACAGAGTTACCATTCTGGTCAGCATGGGCATACTGCTCCTCAGCTTCTGATAGGTCCTTAGCTAAAGACTGGACAGGAAAAACAGTTACCATTCTGGTCAAATGGCATCTGTGTGAGAAAATAAAAATGTATTCAGCTGGCTAGCTGGATGACATGATGTCATTTTTTTCCTCAGTTTCTAATGCCAAGACTTTGGCTTTGTAAGTACTGGTTCACTCACTTTTTTTTTTTTTTTTTTATGGTACCAGGAATTGAACCCAGGGGAATTTAACCACCAAACCACATCCCCAGCCCCTTTTTAAAATGTTTTATTTTGAGTCTGGGTCTTGCTAAGTTGCTTAGGGCCTACGTTGCTGAGGCTGGCTTTGAATGCACTATGTTCCTGCCTCAGCCTCCCGAGCCACTGGGATTATAGGTGTGTACCACCATGCCTGGTACCTACTCACTCTTGAGTGTAAAGCAAGGATGATGTTAGGGATCCCCAATATCCTGTGGACAACAAATATTTACAATGATGGGGCCACCACTACATGGAATCAGGGTTTTTGGAGAAATGACCACTTTGAAGTTTTATGCAGAAAATAAGTTGAACCTAGGGTATCTTATCACAAAAGATCATTAAGAAGCTATCAACAACCAATATAGTCATGTCATAAGGACTCAGGAACCATTATGAAATATATATAGTAGATTATATTTTGCAAACATAAGCACAGCAGTATCTCCCATCTGATAATTTCCTGTAACATGATCTTGCCAATCCATTTCTGTAATATGACCTTGCCATCAAAAAGTAGACTCTTTTTCCATCATCTTGAATTTGGGAAGACACTGTGACTCCCTAGATCAATAGAATATGGTGGAAGTGACCCTGTGCCAGTTCCAAGCATAGCCCCTTATGTGTCCTGGCAACTTCTGCTTCCTGCCCTTTGGGATGCTCCCTCTAAGAACCTAGCTGTCATGCTGTGAGAAGCCCAATTTACACAGGGGTCACAGGAAAGCATAGTGAACAACCTAGTTGAACTCCTCTGACAGCCAGAATCAAGAGCCA